AGCTGAGGAATTGGCAAGGTGAGATAGCTGTGGCTTGTTCTGTCTCTCTGATCTACCAGCATGGACCCCAATAACTGACCTCGGGTTTGATTTTATTAATAAGAACTTTTAAGATTCCTGCTACAATTTAGTATTACATCTGACACATCTGACTGTAGTTTGCATACTTCATTTAAAATCAGAATCCACTTGAACTTTTTTATGGGGAGAAATTCAGCAATCTCAATGAAGATAATTATGTAGAAAATACAGTGATACCGACAATATACCAACAATAGCAATTCGGAAGTCTCTTGCCTTTCATAAGACTAATTTCTTTGAACCAGTTTCTCCACTCACCTGCTTTCTTGACATTGTGATTCATCTCTTCCTTTCCTCTTACCTGAGAAAGGTCCTCTGGACCCAGCTTGACAACCTCCTCCTAAAGCTTAGATGACACCACCTCCTCAATTTCCCCTGGGTAGTGAGCCTGGAGGTCAAAACATTACCCCATCACACTTGTCCTGCCAATGTTTTGGTAAATAGCAAAAGAGGGAAATCTCACATTTCATAGTCAGAAGGAAAGTAACAAAACCTATGCTTGTAACTGTTATTTCTTCCTCTGCAATGATGGCAGTATTTGGAATTTTGAGGTCCTACCGTGAGAGTGGTAACTACAAGGTTAAAAGGGGAATGCATGTAGTTCAGACTTCAACCTAGCTCTGGGATATAGGGAACCAGCAAGAATCAGCCAGTTTAGCTGGAAAAGAAATGCGTTCTGTCCTCCACCTCAGTTCATCCCAGCTCCCCGACCTCCATTTTTAGACACTGGTTCTATTTGTCATGCAGCATGAAACGTGAAGAATTGACTCCTCCCTGCCCCTCACTCAGTGCATTTGCCAATTCAGAATACTCAGAGGGTGGGAGAGAGAGTTCTACACTACATTTGTTATTCAAATGTACATTCTAGGACCAAGGATCACCTGGTTCCTGACCTGCTTTTTAATTTCCTTAGCATGAGCTCATCTCAAATAATTTGTTCTAGTTGAATATGGAAAATGGAAGCTACAATTTGCTTATGGGCAGGGACTACATGTCCATGTAGGTATACATATCCTAAAAAGTGATGGTAAATGATGTTCAAATGCTGGATTTTTTAAAAATGAATCACCCTTGATGAATTAACATTTCCCTCTACTTATGTGGATTAAACCACTCTGTCAGCAGCAATTCCTGGATGTTAGCCAGGACCTGGTTGCTTTGTTATTTATATCAGTTTCTGCTCAGAAATCAACTTTAGAGTATAATATTTAATCCTAAGCTTGGCATTCAAAGCCTTCCATAAGGGCCTCTAATTCTATTCTAGAAAATTCTTCTACACAAGCTTTCAGCTACATCCAAATGGACAGACATTTTTAGGGTTCTCTGAGCAAAGATAGCTTCGCTTACATAACTTGAAGTTGTTTACTTAGCAGACGGTTCTAATTTCTTTTTAACCTTCCAAAGCCAGCTCAAGTCCTATGCCCATTTTAATTTTGCTGTACTCTGAAACTGTATTTCTTACTATTGGTCATATTTACTGAGAAGTGAATTACTTACACTCTCATTTTTTCCTGATGTTTTGCTGCTTTTTCATTCTGGTATTATGTGATAAGTTTTATTACTTACTATTTCTATTAAGATCACTAGATGCTAAACTTACTGAGGTCAAAAACCATATAACCATGAAATTTTATACCCCACATGGGGTTCATTTATGTATCTGGTGCTTCCTGATTGATCAATATCTTCCTATTAGGTTGGTGCTTGCTGGCAAGGGATGACATTGCAGAAATGGATCCAGTGCTGAGGCCAAAACCATGAATTTCCCCACCTTTCTAGAGCTGTAAAGCAATCTCACAATCTAAGAAGCATTATTTATTGTTAGTGCATCATTTAAAAATCACATTTTTTTTTGGTTTCCTCTTTCAATTTCTTGATTAAATTGTTTTTGTTTCTACTAATGGTCAAAGCCAAAACGGTCTCCTGAAGGCCATCTGCTACGCAGTTGCTGGGTGTCACCAGAGGGACAATCAATTGTTAACTGATAACCTTTACTCTGGGGTTAACATTCAGAGTTTAGGAACAGCTTCTAACTAATTAAGGGGCAGTTTGCCTTGGAGCTGTGCATATTTTAGAAGATAAAAGCAAAATTGTCAATTCCTTGGAGGTTTTACCATGAAGGGATTATAGAAATTGTGAATTATTTTGTGTTGGAATGCCACAATGTAAAAAACAATAAACATCAAGCAGGTACCATCACAAAGTCTTGTGACTGTCTCCTGGTTTGTCCTCATAACCCTCTGCTCCTGTCTCTCTCACCACATTGTCCTGGATTTTCAAAATTCAAGCTTAACATGAAGAAAAAAATCTTATTATTTTCCTGCTGAAGACTGTCAGGGTTATAAATATTAAATCCATGTCCCAGTTACATTTCCCTTTATTTTCTCAACTAAATGGTATAATTGTCCACATTACCTCTTTCTCCCAGCTCTGCACCCTTTGATAGCTTTACTGTAGTCCTGTACCCTTTTCCTTCATCTTCCACTACCAAATAAATCAAGCAGCAATTACTGATGTTCAAGCACATAATTCAGGCAGCGTTAGGCTTTTCATTTGACGCAACTACGCAGAGCTGTCTGGAGTGCACTATAATGTTAGAGCATTTAAAGAGACTCCTGTCCATGTTTTCTCCCCCACCTTCCACCAACGAAATGTAGTTGTTTATGATATCTGAAGATTTCCGAGTTATAAACCCCCAAGCGGCTACATAATCTTGAATAATTTTCCACTGAAGCAATTTACATCTATACACAATAATATATCAGCATATACATACATGGAAACACATGGCTCTTCATGAAAAGGAAAAGGAACCCAGAAACAAACAACTGGAGATAAAATAAACCCTTTACATAGACAAGGAATTTCAGTATCTTTAACACAGATGGTTGGAGTTATGACTAAATAAGCACAGTTCAAAACCTCTGGGAGGGGTCTTTAAAAAGGTTCATGCTAGGATCTCTTTAAAGCATTACATATATTATATAATGCATATATATATATATATATATATATATCCTTACACTATCACTCTTGTTTACTAACTGCAGAAAGCTTATAATTTTAGTCTTCCTACTTTCATGACAATTATGAAAATCTAAATCAGATATTTATCCTTGTAATGGTTTTTGCTCACGCAGAGAGTCTCTAAGCCTCAGAGAAGAAAATAGTTATCATGACCTCAGCAAAATCCCGCAGTGCCATAATGGAAATCGCAGTGAATCTTGGGGTCAGGCTCCTGTTTCAGGTTAGCACCATGATTCTTTCACCTACATAACCCTGAAGGACGTGGTTGGGTTCTCCCAAGGATGACCACTCTTAATGTCAAAATCTAAAGCAATCAATCTGACATTAAGCAGTGTTGATAGGAACTATACTAACTCCAAAACCATGGCCAAAGAGATTGAGATTTCTTTTGGCTGTGCATGCATGCTTACACCTAGTTTTAAAGATAAATAGAGGAAGAAGAGGGATTCATTCCTAAAATTGATAAATTTATTCTAGGTTCAGACAATCCATATTTTTTTAAATAAAAAATATAGGGAGGGGACTGTCCTATAAACAGATAGTACTAGCATCTTCATATATGCCCACACCAGCCTACCTAATATCAACAGACATATCTACCCTGTGTTAAAAGCAAAAAATTAACAATTTGCATGTCGTAATGGACGATAAGTGACCGTTGTAAAAAGTGTGTTTATTTTCTGTCTAGAACAAGGCACAGGGAAAAATACAGAAGGTTTCTACAAGTAGTCTATTATTTCTTGAAGCTACGTGGGAGGTGAGGAGGAGAGCAGGCAATTGTCTGTAAATAAATCCCTGCTGACAGGATTTATTTTTCTATCTTCCTTTTAATCTAGTATGCCCGCTCTATTAAGAGTTTCTGTAAGACCTGGATCTCAAAGAGAAAATTTGGCCTTCAGCCCTGGCCAGGCAGGCATCTCTGCAGCAGGTAATGCGGCGCTGCAGCCTGATCGCTGTCCGCGGTGCTGAAAGGTCAGGGAGCAGACGCGGGCTTTGGGCACTCCTGTCCAGGGTGCTGAGCTCCGGCCGGCCACCGCAATCCTCCAGGGGAACCCACCGTGCCAATGCTGCGCGGAGCTCTCCCACCCAGCACCACCCGCCCGCTTGTAGCTGATATGGGGCAGGCGGCATAAATCAAGTCTGCGGGGCATGGAGGCTGCTGTCGCCGCCGCAGCTCAGCTAGCCCAGGGCGGGAACTCCCCCTTCCTCCTCTCGCCTCCCCAGCGCCCACACCCTGCTTTCTTATCTCCCTTGGGTAGCGGTGTCCTAAAGACAACAGTTAGAACGAACGACAACCCCGTGTTTTGCTTTTGCTTTTGCTTCTATAGAGAAAAGGGAAAGAAACCCACAACCCCAATCACCTAAACATATCCCAAACTGCATCCCAAGATGGAAGAGGGTCCCACGGCTGTTTCAAAAGAGTAAGTTATTATTCTGCACACATCCTCCCTGTTTCTTTCCACCGCTCCATCTGCAGCGTCCCCATTCATTCCTTCTCCAAACAGCTCACCTCGAAAATACTTTTATGTAGCCCCAGGGAAGAGTCTAGGCAGAGTGCACCCAGGGAATACCGCACCCTAAGCGCACCAACACACTTGTATTTATCCAGGCTCACTTGGGCTGTCAGCTGCAGCTGCGGTCCCTTCTGTGTATGCGGCTATCCAGGGCCAGGACCACGGTCTGGGGAGGGGGCTCTTTACCTTAGCTTCTCCAGAGGATGCTGTCCGCTGATCCCTGCGGGTCACAAGAGTGAAGGAGCTACCGGGCAGGGAGGGAAGGAAAGACAGCTCCTGACCTCCCCGAGGTTTCGTCTTCAATGCAACGTGAGCTCTGCCCTCATCAAAGATGGCCGTCCCTTTGACGTCAGCAGCTTTTAATAGCCCGCTCCTCGAGGGGCGGGGAGGAAGTGTGTTGGGGGAGGGCGCAGGGAGGAAGGTGGCTGGGGGCGGTAGGGGAGGAGCCGGGAGGTGCGGAGTGCTTGACTCAGCTCCCGGAGCGTTTTGCAGCAACCCTTTTTATTTCAGTCTTTTATAAACATTCAAATGGAGCGATTCTTTTGACTCCATTTTAGCACGGTCTTGGGAAAACACGTACCTCTTTCGACTGTTTTCCTGATGGCCTATGCTTTTGCCTGTGTGTGCATGCATATGTGAATATATGTATGTATATAAGAATGTATGTAATGTGTATATACAATTATAATGCAAATACATAATTTATATGTAAAACGTTCCCCTGCTGACTTGTCTTGGTTGAGTCACAGACCAGAGAGGAAGGCAGAGGAGTGAAGGGGTGGTGATGTGAGTGGCTGGGGTAGATTTCGGTTGTGATTTATTTTCTCCAAAGAGGAGGGTCGGTCCGAAGAGGTATCCCCCTCCGCTGTCACCAGCTTCTTAGGAGACCAGGTTACTTGGGTTGCTATTTTTATGAGTGATTATTGAATCAAAGTAGCTTTGCAGGTTTGGAGTTCTCATTTAATCGTGGCCATTTGGGGAAAGACTCACACTTTCTTTTAAAGTACGTCAGAGCAATTATCACCGAGATAGCACTTAAGCTGGGCAGAGGAAGAGGGGAGCTAGTTAACCCTACCAGCCTGGGTTTGCAGGGCTCAGGGCTTTGAGTTGAGAGTTGTTTGCCCAGGGCTAATAGATGACGCTGTTTCCGGTTGAATGTGCAGTCAGGGCCTGGGTGATGTTCGGATTTCTTAGAACATCTCCGGGGGACGGTGCATGCATGTCCAGACACCCAGAGGGAAAGTGGCTAGGACTGGAGGGTCACTCATTACGCAAACCCAGGCACTCGCAGTGGCTGACCCTCTGAAGCTCAGGGCCGGGTATGAGCAAGAATGTCTACTTCTGCTGGTTAGATGAGAGATTAGAAGTAATAACCAAACAACATAATCCTGTCTTCTCTTGCTGTGTGTGCGTCAGGAGCTGGGGAGGGCGGGCGGCGGTATGCAAATAGTTCGGTGGTTCAGCCTCTGGATGATTCACAGGTGTTGGCGAGGCTGTCGGGGCTCTAGGCAGGGAGGGGGAGCTGGGGAGCGCGTGGGAGGTGGGGGACCTCGTCTGAGGAACTGTTTGTACTTTTCCGCGGAGGAGGATGAGATTAGAAGTCGTGCCTTGCAATCTTAAAACTCGATGGCCTCTTGGGCCATGGAAAAGCCTTGTTTCTCGGCTGGGCGGGGGTGGGTGTGGGTGGGGGGAATAGACCCAGCGCGGGGAGGCATTTAAAACTGGGTCTGAAAAACAACGCACAAACGCCCACCTCTCGACAATACCACACACACACACACACACACACACACACACACACACACACACACACACACACAGCATAGCTCGCTGGCTTTAAAGCTTTAAGTAATAAAGCGTTTAATTGTAAGCTATTGCAGGTTGTGTAGAGGGAGAGCGGAGGAAGGAGGCGGAAGACTTGTAAAGGGATTGCGCCTGAGAGGAGCATAATTCGCCTTTTCTTAAAGATACCCCGATCCAAAGGATATTTTGAAATATTAATTTTTGCGATGACTATGGTGTTTGGATTTTTAGTAAGTCCAGATTCCTGCTGCAGTTTGCTTACTTAATTATTCATTCAACATTTGAAATTTCTCTATGATAAACAAGAAAATATGCGCGGTGTTCACTCAGGTACCATTCCAGCTCTTACTTTCATTATAAAGCTAGCAGGAATAGATTTAAGTATGTAATCTTTTTCAGTTAGGATATGACTTGAAAAAAAAGCAGCATTCAGGATTGGCAGAGAAAAAAAACAAACCACTTTGCAATGAGGGGAAAGAAAATACTTGTATGGCCCTCTGACTAGAAATCATTCAGGCAGAAAGTTTGTGTTAGAATGGAGGCGGGGGATTTTCCAAATTAAAAAAAAAAAAAAGTAAGTACGTCATTGATGGAGCCTCATTCTGCAGGCAAAAATGATGTGGCAGTCACCAGAGAGAACTGCTTGGTGTTCTGAATTTTCAACTGAAGATTTCTCACACTGACATCTTCAAAAAGTACAGAGTAGGAAAGAGTCAGACTGACTCAGGGCATCACAGGAAACAGCATCGGCCCTGCAGAATGATGTGACAGCATTGCTCATATCTGTATGCTTCTTTAGAAAATGATACTGTTTGAGTGTTTCTTCATGCTTGGGGAGCACAAAGGTCTAATCTGAGAGACACTGGATAAATAAAAATTCGCTATGTATGACAAGATAGTCCTTAATATACTTTGAATATCATAAGGGGATTTCCCCCAAGGCTGTTTCCATTGTTTTAATAAAATAAAGTAATACAAAGAAAAACTTCCATGATGATGCGTGACAGTAATTCAGGGTTTACAAAGGGCTGACCCTTACAGAGAAGTAAGGTGAAGAACATTTTGCTCCAAAATGATTCAGCTGTTTTTGAGTCCTCTCTACAAAAAAAAACCAGTATGTATAGTAACTAACCCAGAGGAACTCACTGTTGTGTTAGGTTGATATTTATGCTATGCTAAGGCAACTTCTGAAAGCTCTCTGGTATACCATGCCCCAGAACATTCTCATTTGCAATTGTTACATTTGGAATATTAAATAAAGTTCAACATTCATACTCAAGTGGGAGACTGAGGCCGGCCCTTCATTGTGTGCTCAAGACCAGCCTGGGCTATAAATTAAGTTTGAAACTAGTTTGGGCTTTATAGTGAGACCTTGCTCCAAAACTCCAAAACGTAAATAAATAAATAAATAAATAAATAAATAAATAAATAAATAAATAAATAAATAAACAAATAAATATAGAAAACAGACAAACTAAAAACTCCAAAGATCCATAGCTGGCTTGACAACTACATTTCTTTAAAAAAAGTTTCTATGAGTTATTTTTGTTGTTTGACAATTTCATGCATGCATATATTATATTCTGATTATCCTCTCTTTCACATTCTCTTTCATGTTTTTCCCATCATCTTTATAATTCTTCCTTCTCCCACATGCTTACTACTATTCCCTAGGATTTACAACTATGGCTTTTGTTTTGTGGCCCATTTAGTTTCACTAGGGGCTATCAGTGTGACCATTGAATTGGAAGTGTTCAATGGAGCTTGGCAAGGTCACCAGTGGGTATACAACTGAGGGCAATGATCTCTCCATTCTTTGAAGCTGGCAGTAGCAAACAGTTCCTAAGTGAATGATAGGGCGCCAAAGTCCCGCCTCCACTCATACCTGACAGTTGACAGGCTTTTTCTTTCACAGACCTAGTGCAGGCATCAACTTCTGTAAATTCATGATTCTGATGGCTGTTTCTTGCCCAGTAGATGGTATTTTCTGACGCTTCTCCTTATCTTCTGGATTTTTTAGTCCTTCCATCCTTACTTCCCCAATGTTCCCTGAGTCCTAGAGGGGGTGGAACAAATGTCTTGTTTAGTATTCATCTGAGCACTCATCATAAGAGCACACATTTGCCACTTGTTCTCATAGTAGTAATGAGTTTCAGCATCCCGGTCATTTACTAGAAAGAGAGGTTTTCCTGATCAAGGCTTTCAATGGTTTTTGTCTTAACATATGTAGAAGGGAGCTTGATACTCTGTCAGTTTTATAAAATATTGCATGAATTTTCCAAAGTCAATTCTGAAATATTTTATAAGTACCCAGCTTGGAAATGCTTTCACCAATGTCCTCCTTTGGGATATACCTGGCACCTTCTAGTAATTCATCAAGACCTTGGAAGGACACAAGCCTTGGGCAAAAGAGCACATGTTTAATAGATGAGCTCTTTTGCTTCCTTGGTTTTCTTTCCACATGACTTGCTTACCCCGTTCTCTTTGAAGGTTCCTGTTTTCCCCTACCCCCAACCCAGTCTCCATACACAGTTGCTCTCAGAAAAAGGAAATGTTCTAAGTCTAAATTCAAAAGCTACCTTTCTTCTACAAGGCATCTGAATAGGGACATATCTTGTGAGAAACCCAGGAATATTAATTAGTTCTTTCTGATTTACTATGCCAAGAAAAAGTAAGATTATACACCTATAATTTGCCCACAACTGGGGGCTGGGTGCTTCCACACTACTGTTCCTTAGTACACCAAAATTATAGACTTAAATGTTTATGGTTAGTAAACAAAGTAATGGGTTTCACCATATCACACTCATCTGCATTTGCAATTATACCTTGTATTCATCCATTCCCTCTTTTCCCTGTGTTCCCTACGATCCTTTCCCCTTACTCCAGATGTTTCATTTCCTTTCCCTAGTTAGTTTCTCTTTCTGTTTTCCTATTACATGTGTCCCATTACTTTCTCCATTATCTGTCCCCCATCTCCCTCAAGATCTATTCTCCTCTCATGATCCCATTTCTATCCCCCCCTCTCTCTCACACACACACACTTTTAAGTTAAGATTCTATAAATGAAAAAAAAACTTATAGTATTTATATTTCCAAAAGTGACAGACTCTTTTTTATACATAAATGCATTCTAAAGCATCTCCAGTGCTGAGGATGCTTGTGGCTAGAGAGAGAAGAGTTTTGTGACAATGAAGGATGGCAGGAAGGAGAAATGGTAGCCAGTTCAGATTAGTTGTAAAAATGTTATCATCACCTTTCATAAAGTCTTTCAAGAATCCTATTATGTCTGTATCCTCTCCGTACCTCAGCTATCTCATAGCTACACTAGTCTCAAAGGAATGATGAGGCATATAGAATCATGTCTTTTTTTTGTGACTTATTGATTAAATATTAGAAACCTATCATTTTGAGGGGGCCTAATGTCTCTAAAAATTACATGATACTTAGCTTTAACATGGAAGTTTACTCTTCATTAGATAACAGCTAGATACACACCACTTATTTGCTCTAGGCCTAGGCTTGTTCA